ATCACTCTACGGTAATTTGATATTACGATGCATGAGAGTTTTTCCTGTAAAGCGTGTTTTGAGCAAAAATCACGCTTTTCCTTTATGGTTTGATGACATATTGTACATCGAGGAAGTATGCAGAGCTTGTGCATATAGCCCCTTACCTGCATACAATTACACTCACACTAATCATCATTGACGATTAACACAACGCCACGGGCGGTGGCAACGAAACTGTATATTGCCTAAATATAGCCCCTTAATAAAGACACACGACTACACGAGTAGGCCCCTTAATTTTTTTTTAAATATTGAGTGCCTTACGTTAAATGGACCACCCGGTGTATTATGTGTATTATGTGTATTACTTATACATTAAAAAAAACGTACACTTTGACCTTTTTTAATTACGTATCATTTTATTTTTATGAACTAATTTTAATACTACTGTTTGGGTAGTTCATTAAATAGTTATTTTTCTCCATACCCATAAAACATTTTTACTATTAATGGTAGTAATGGGTTCACATAATTCAAATTGATTTTTCATATAGATGTTTATTTTAACTAAAGATAGTTAATAAAATAATTGTTCATTAGTTAATATTTCCTAACTTTCAAGATATTTGAGAATTAAGATTATAGGTGTACAATATAATATGCACAAAAAACACTCAAGCTTTAATTAATTTAATAAATCAATGGTTAGCTGATGATCCACTTTAAACATATTTCAATGGTCCACGATTATTCCATTAAATTATAGTGAATCACTAAATTTATAAATGTGTTATGCAACTCGGCACTAATGATGTATGATTTAAAGTTTAAAGAACAAAACTGAAAAGAAAATATACTACAAGACATAATGATGAATAAAGGTATTTAGATATTTTCTTTTAAAATCTGAAACATTAAACTGACTAAAAATCAAATGTTGCATGTGAAAAAATATCACTTTTCAGTGTATACCTTTTCATAGCCAGCAGCTAGATTAAAGATTAATTTCAACCCTATGTAGTAAAATCAAGTTTAATTAAATATTATTAGGTAAATACAAACAACATTTCGAATTCAATTATTTGCATTTTTGATGCAGATATCAGATATCATAATATTATTGTTTGTACGTTATAATGAACTATAGAGTTATTAATATTTCAATAAGAAGGCGTTCTAAGAAATCAGTATATATTAATAATAATAAGTACAATATGCATACAATTTCAAATTAAAATACATAATATTTGGGAAGTACAAAATATGTTTTTGTAGTTAAATATATACATATTATATGTATAATGTATATAGTACATACAATAATCATAACCATAAGTTCACTTTATTTTTAATTAAAGAATACCCTTTACAAATGTAATAATGTTGGAAGTTTCATTTCAATTTGATACAACAAGCATTTTTTTTTATAGAGATTTAAGAAAAAATAACATTTGATACATTTTAAACTGAATATTTAAAATGTTAGATTTTAACAGTTTTATTTGTAATTTATTTTAGTTCTTATTTACTACGTAAATTAATATTGATTTTAGTATTTATACATACCTAATACCTATCTGCAACATAGTCAATGTTTATTAATATTAAGCTCGTTAAATGAGTAATTTTTATTGATTGAATAACGAATTAATTCTAAATTTAAAATTAACTTGTATTAATTTCATATTTGTACGTAACTTCATGAATCAACTATGTTTACGTATAGTAGGTACTGTACAGTAATCAGTAAGAATATAATTTACATATAACATATATATAATATTGCATAATATAATTGTATAAGCAACATTTATTAGCTTATACAATTTGAAGTATTTTTTATTATGTACGTTTCATATATCGTACAATAGGTAATAATTTAATTGGGTGGTTTTATGCAGACTATATCTAAGCTTAAGTTTTGTATGTAATTTGAAATGTTTAAAATAAAAAAAAATATATTTTCTAAACCCTACAATAGTACTATTATACCGAGGACAATTGTTAATTTTGTCAATAAATTAAGTTATAAATTGGTATATAAATATTATATGAGTGCATAATACACAGTTAGGTATGTAGAAGAATAGAATATAAGTAGTTAGTAGAATATTGTAGATAAGTGTACCGCTAGTGAGTAAAAATATGTTCAATTATTGTTATCGTTTAGACTGCAGAGCATTGATCATTATTGTCACTACAGAGAACTAAATAAATTTCAATTTAATAATTTTGTTCCAAATTAAATTAGATTAATTTTACTACATACAGCAACAAATACATACATACTGCAGTTAATCAAAATTTAATGTAATTACACATTTCCATTTTTATATTAGAAATATACGAAGCCTATTTTTTTTTTTAAATACCTAATTGAAGACTTTTTATAAACTAAGGTGAAATTATAATGTAGATAAAATTAATTAAATTTATTACTTATTACTTATTAGTAAGTACTTATTAATATAATTAGTTAAACTCGCAAGTCAACTCCAATTTGAATCTATTTGTTTACTTTACTTCTTAAAACAATTTTTTTCCTTTTTTGTGTATTATAAAAAATGAATAAATAATAATTTATAATTTATAACAATATTTATTTTAAAATTAAATTGTTATCACTCATCTAAGTACATTTATTAAGTTAATTTTTTAGAGTTTTCGGGCCATTTTTGTGTATTTTTTAGGTCATTGAGATCCTACCTCTACTTATTACTAAATTACATTTTTATTTTTATTTTTTTTTCGTTAGTTGATCTGTTTTGACTTTTTGAGTTAAATAATTGTTCCACAGAAGGTCTGTAATTTGTTACAAACTGATAACACAGAGTTGGTAGGTGGCGTGCCATTTACCTAATAGGTAAATAAATAGGTAACAAGACTACAGGAGTATATATCGGAGAAGAAGGATATAACCTTTCAAACTAGTAAGAGTGTAAGACTATAGGTAGGTACATTTTTTTTAAAATTCTGAAAATAAAATAAAAGATAGACGCCATAAAGGTAATACTATATTGCAGTTAGTATGCAACTCGATAATAATATAAGACACCCAACAAGGATTGTGAAGTAAAAATAATAATACTATGAGTGATGAATTGGCGAAGGTGCATCTAAGGAAAAATAATAATCTCATTACTTACAATATGATAAAACGCTTCCCTACATTATTAGAATAATAACATACAAAACATGAAAACATACTAATATTGGAATAACCGATTGGCGGTTGTCTAAGTGGCAAAGAGTGCCCCCAAGTCATGGGGAGGGAGAGCGGTCTGATAAAAGTTTAAAAACACATACGCATACAGTGGTGTACTGAACTCAAATTTGAAATGACGCATTTTTATAATTGAGTACTAACTACCATGATCACTTCCTTATATTTACTTATACAGAGTTATGATGCACATAAAATGTGCCCGAAAGAGCCAAGAATTTAGGGCCTTAGCATGTAATTCTGCGCCACAGTCACGGGGTGGCCACATCCACTTTGAAATGTCGACCTTACAAAATTTAGCCTAGCCCACCAACACACACACACACACACACACACACACACACACACACACACACACACACACACACACATTTCATTATACAGTGGTCACCTTCGACTTACGATGACATATTATTATTAAACAACGCAATTTAAAGTGCGGTATCCTGATATATTGTTATTCGGCCGGCGAACGCGTTTTTTCTCCTACTTACCAATTTCGGTCATCACATGATCGTCTTCTCACAGATATCAATCGAAACCACACACAATGCGATGCAAGTATGATTAATATTATTGCCATTATAATTTATGTTGCCTCCCGCTCACTTCACGCGTAGTGATGATCTATATTGTATTAAAATAAAAGGAAATGGGTGTGTTTGAGTGTGTGTGTCTGTGTGTGTGTGTGTGTGTGTGTGTGTGTGTGTGTGTGTGTGTGTGTGTGNATATTATTGCCATTATAATTTATGTTGCCTCCCGCTCACTTCACGCGTAGTGATGATCTATATTGTATTAAAATAAAAGGAAATGGGTGTGTTTGTGTGTGTGTGTGTGTGTGTGTGTGTGTGTGTGTGTGTGTGTGTGTGTGTGTGTGTGTGTGTGAGAGAGAGAGAGAGCGATTCACAGTCTATCACATTCGTGGTTCTAAAATTTTTTACATTATAATCCTATACTCTTGCAGCACGAAGCAAATTTTTGAATTTCAAATTTTAAAGGAGGAGATTGAAAAAAATGCTTACATTAAATAACGGAGTGGCCAATCCACGGGCATTTAATTTGTCACTGACGACTCCATGTTGGATCAGCTACAATTAATAATTAATATATTGAATACTATATAAAATCAAAAGTATAAAACGGTTGGCATTTGAAGGGCCCAATACACAATCAATTTTATTGTACCAACATAACATTATTGACTGAGTGGTGTATATTGATGATAATATCGAAGGTGTGTTCAATATCATATTTGAAATATCAAAACCATTTTAATATTTATTAATGAGTAATAATTATCCATACAATGAACTCGATTGAGTGTCGGGGCTCTTTATGCAAATCCACTGCAGATTTCGAAAGATTTTTGATAACGTTTTCGTCAATAGATTCTGCAACGCCCGAAGTGTCATAGGCTATTTTTTACAGCACACAAATGTTGAATTTAGTAGACTCAAGAAAAACGATTATTTTTTTGCTATTGGTTACAAAAAATAAATCAGTCATTACTCATTATAAATATTATTATAATTTTAGACCTTTATTTCATGAGTTGTCGAAACGAGCCACAGAAAACCGTGTTTTGAAATCTGTGGTCCATTGCGCCTCATACGGATTCAGAAGTTCACGGGCATTAGATCTGTCACCGACTACTCAGTTTCAGATCTACTCCAAGATTTTTTGTGAAGTGAAATCTAAAATTTTTATCCAATTACCCATCCACCCACAGCAATTCACCAGTCATTTAAGAGTTGTAGCGATCGCTTCACATGATACATACCTGTCCTACCTATTATATTAGTTGGGCGCCACTGCCGTGAGGCAAAATTGGGCTATTATATAAAAAAAAAAAAATAATAATAATAACAATTTTAATAATAATGAAATATTATAATATGAGAATTATACCTAATTAAATACATTTTTTTCTGCATTCCGTCTGCCGCGTCTGGTATGACCGGTATTATACCTAGGTATACATAATAGGTACGCGGTTGTGTAATACACACATTTCTTTTTCACGTCCGACAGATATTATCGCGTCTACCACGCACGCGCGAGCCGGCGTCTCACTCGCACAAACCCGTCCGCCGGCCACCTATCAGCACGTCTGCCGCGTCCGTCCGAATTTTATCGTCGTCGCCGGCCTCAACCGCTTCGCCCGAATTCGACTCAGTATCGCCCGCGGACTTCCCTTCGCCTTTTCCGGTCCATGTGATTCCCGAATTCCCAGCAGCAGCAATACCTACCTACTTGTATAATAACAAGTAATATAATAGTTACTACCAACAGCCGTCCGGCACGGGCGCCGCCGACAAGGCGATGTTGATTTCTTTATTGTCGACGTCAACGGCTCCGGCCACTCCGACGGCCAGCGCCGCCGCCGTCACAGGGACGGACTCGTCGGCGCTGACGGTGACGGTGCTGACGGTGGCGTGTGCAGCGCTCACGCTGATCTTGGTGTTCATGTGCGCGCTGGACATGCCTTACTTCTTCCGATCGCTGTTCAGCTACGTGACGGCCACGTGCTTGAAGAAGAAGCTCCGGGTCACCGACACGGCCGTATTTTCGTCCGTGTGCCTGACCACTGACCTGGACGTGTACCTGTCGCACATGAACAACGCCCGGTACCTGCGTGAGATAGACCTGGCCCGCATTGAGTTCCTGCTGCGCACCGGATTGTGGCAAGAGCTCCGGCGCCGCGGTGGCCTCATATTCACCATAGCAAACAGTATCCGGTACCGCAAGTTCGTGCGCACGTTCAGCCGGTACGAGATCCGTACCAGGATCGTGTACTGGGACGACATGTCCATATTCTTCGAATTCCGGTTCGTGTCCAAAGCCGACGAGTTCGTCCGAGCCATCGTGTACAACCGGCAGCGGGTGATCGACTGCAGCGCAGACGAACTGATGCGCACCGTCATCGGTGGCGGTGCATCGGCGGCCGCTAAGACCGCGGACGCGGACAGCGCGTACCAGCGGCCCGAGTGCCCCATCGAGATACACCACTGGATACAATCGAACCTCATGTCAAGCGCCAACCTCAAGGCCGAGATGGGTGACGGCGACCCTCTGTAGTGCTGGGGTGCGTTTGATCGGGGCTGTCCGGTCCCCTCGTTTCGGCTGCAGGAATACGCAAAAATTGAAATACCTTTAGCACTTTAGGGTGTAAATATCCACTCAACGTTTGGGCGCAAGCACATTATTTCTCAACATATTACCTCTAGCACGTTGAGCGCATACATTTTGCTTAATTTATTAACCATAGTTCATATTTTTGATATTTTGTTTTTTATGTGATAAAATATTGAATTACCTAAGTTATTGTTTTCTTCGATGCATTATTTCAATATGATAATTTGCTCTACATATTTTTGCACGGACTTTAATATTATGCTTTTGTATCTTTTGTTGTATTATGTTTAATTTTTCACTCCCAAACGCGTGTCTTTTATTTTACATCCTAGGTATCGTGTTTTCATAACAAACAATGCACCCAAAAGTGATGTTACGCCCATATCGCGGTATAATGCAGCTGCACTTGCACCCGACAATGCGCTCCGCAATTGATCTCGTGCGTGCAGCGAGATTGTATATTGATTATTACCTCTTTAGTAGCAGGCTCGATTGGTTTTTTTTGTTTTTTTTTTCGGAAAAAAAATTGTAAATTTTTTATCGATTGTACGGTCAAAAAAAAAATATATATTATGACCGTTCTTTTACCAATCGGGACTGCATTATAATGTATACCTAGTGATTATATTATTATTATACTCGTCTGTACCTTGCACGTTCTAGTCTCGTTACACTGCCTTTTATGTATTATAATTTTAATTATGCTCAGGTACGTCTGTATATATAGATAATTATATTATATTGATTATAAATACTAGTGTTTAAGTCTTAGTAGGTAATGATAATATTATTATAAACTATGACGGCCGTTTTACCGGCGATGTATTTGATACGTTTGGCATTAACATAGACAATAAATGTATAATTTTATGTTTACCAACCTTAGAGTTTTTATTCAATTACCTTATGGATTTTATCGCTACTGCGTCGAAATTGTACATCGCGCTGCGGTGTTGCCGCGTGACTTGTTTTATTTGTCGTGAAGAAAGTAGATACTTTCATTTTTAGTTGTATTTTACACAGAATCACACTAAAATGTATCTGTACTCTCATGATGCTATTATACTAGCGAAACAAGAACTCGTACTAAAAGTAAAAACTATTAATCATTATTAAATTAAATTAAAGTCGTTTTAAAGGTAAAGTGACTTCAAAAGCCAAATATTATTATTTGTACAATAAATTAATAATTCCAAATATACAACTTTGGGGATATTTATTTTAAAAGTGACCTTTGGACTTTAAATAAATATAAAATTGAACATTATCTATCTATAGACCACCTTAACTTGGTAAAGTTGGTCAGTCCAATACAATCAATTCTCATAGAAGTTTCGGTGCATTTAGGCATCTTCTGCAGTAGTTCTGTGTTCAAACATTTCTTGTTGTTTATTGGACCGGAATTCGGTGAGCTACGAATTGTTTGTTCGATCTAACACAATTTAGTACCTACCTAATCAGTAATTTATTTACGGTATTTTCCTACAAATATATTATAAATACCTAATATTGTCTGCTGACAATCATTGCATTGTATTATTTATATGCTACGATTATGTATTAATGCGATGTTCCTATTAATATAGACTTTACAACTTTTTGATGTTGTTATTAGTTATCAATGTCCAGCTTAAGTCATTTTTTTACGAACACATCTGTCTATACTATGTAAACTATAGAATGTAACGACTTTAGAAAAATCGTTCGCAATAATAGAAATATTGTACAACAAATTTTCAAAGATAATGACATTATCGTCATCGCTTTATGAACATTCCATACAAATTCCATATCCAATTTCTAAATTACTAATTTATTTTGCTTCTACATTGTCATTGTTATTCTAGAACGGCATTAGGCAGGTACGTGTATTTTATCATTATTGGCACCATCAAACCATTGATATGCAATACTGTCCAACACGTTCTAGAAAATATTTTTAACATTATATAGGTAGGTATGAATAAACTATGAATAGTATTGAATACATATACTGAATTTAATTAAAAAATAATTCAACAGTTTTGATGCCAAGCTGTAAGTTCTTAGAAGACATATTATTTTAGCGACAAGAATCGTGCTTGTCAATTAAAATAATAATTGTTTAGTACTGAATAAAATGCAATAATATTATGATTTCGAAATATTATTTTAGACTGAAATTTCTGCTATCTATAAGAATAATGTGATTAATCATTTAAAAAAAATTATATGTTTCAACTTGATACTAAGGTTTTTACAAACAACTATATGACTGTTGTAAGAGTCGAAATCTAATTTATATTTCATGTTTAATATTATAATAAAACGGGCTCAGAACTTTTGGGCACATTAACCTAGAAGCCAACACGTTTGGGTACAAATGGACAGAATGTTTGGGCACATAGAATAAAAGGGATTTTATGATTTTACCTGTTAAATCAGAGAACGTTTGGGTACACTCATATATATAAAACTATATAAGGCACATTTGGGTATACATCACAATATATAATCGTAATCTGGAATAGAGGTGGTATTTTTAGTTTTATACAAGAAAATTGTTTCAGCATAATTAATGCCTTGATGGGAATTCAAAAGAAAACTTTCTTAAATGTGTCCACTATTAAAAGAAATGTTAAAAATATTATAATAAAAGAGGATTCAGATAATGTTGATGTAGTATTTAAAAAAAAATGTTATGCGCTTAAAGTAGACAATGATACAATAAAATATTTACATGATATCGGATAACGATTTGTCGGAAAAAATAAATCTAGACAAATAAATAAAATACAATTTTAATAGATTTAATATTTTTGTGATGAATTATGAACGACCTATTTTAAAACTAGAAAAAAACCAATGTAACAATAATGATTCTTATAACCAACCTATAATTTATAATATCAATTCTTATATTGTTTAATAGTACATAAATTACCATTAACTTGAGTGACAAATAGTTACAAAGTACAATACTAGTCGATTAGGACAATACTACCAACTATCTATATAAAGTATAATTTCACAACACTAGGTATTATAAAACATATTATTATTTTAAAACAGCGTGATTAAACTATCTGCAATACAATTTTTTGTTCAGAGTTCATGAATTTAATTGTGTTTAATGAATAATAAATATTTTGTCATAGTAATAAACGATAGATTAAAAACGTTCAAAATAATATAAACTAAAGTACCAATGTACTTAACTATTTTAATTGTATAAAACATATTCACAATTTGTTAAAAACCTTTTGCATTCATAAACTAATTTTATTAATGAAATAAAGGAATACCTAATATATTATATTGATTAATATTGCACATGTTATTATGTATTTCAATAATTACATCAACCACCTATGGTGTACAAGTACTGTATATTACAGGCCTTAACTATAAATCAAGTAGAATCACTCATAATCAGTGGTAAGTCAGTAAATCATGCAAACATGGCTGATTGTACGTTTACCTTAAAAAAAATAGATTGGTACTTTATACTTTTAATCTATACATAACTTTTTTACATTTTTAACACTAATTATAAATTATAAAAAATTAGGGTGTATACCTACCATTTGTAAGAAAATATTGTATCACATTCAAATATTTTTTATATTGTTTATTTGTTGTATCGCCTTACCGATATGTTTTTGTTATTATTGCCTCATAATCATAAAAAAACTTAAAATATTAAATAAATATTACCTATATTAACCAATAACAAGCTACTTAATAAACACAACATTTACATTTTCTAGGTTATGTCAATACACTTAACTCTTTTCTCATATTTTTTAGTTTTTAATTATTGAAAATATAGATTTATAAAATATGATAATGTGTGATCTTATTAAAAATAATTTGGATATTTGGTTTACAGCAAAATATTTTAAACTTCAAAAATTGTTAACAGATATTGACTCTTACTGTACTTGTAAGAGTTGTAATAAATATATTGGGAATACTATTCTCAAATTGTGTATATTTTTAACCCGTAAAATCGGCTGAGTAACACCATTTTTAAGGCTAACATCTTAACGAACTATACTTTATATTGACTTTCGATGTCATCGGTATTCGGTGTCAGTGTGAATTCGAAAATTTCTCATGTCTTTACCAAAACATCAAAAGACCCTTTACACTTTGGACCAAATAAAGAATATGTTACACTGAACATTATTGGGTTAAAGTTGAAGTGCTTTAATCTGTTCAAATATCTTCTATTTAAGGCTTTTACTGTTTGACTAGTATAATATTTCAAATATTTTAATACACTACAGCAGCAGATATCAGAAATTTGTACAAGTTTACTATTATCGAAATCAAAATATAATCGTTAATTTATAATATCTTATTTAAATTATACATTGACATATCTATCGGGGAAAGAAATTGAGTTGGGTTATAATAAATAATTTAACTACTTTCACGAATTTAATAAATACCCGCAATATCTGATATGCTAAATAATAAATCATAAAAAATAAATAAATTACATAATTTGAATTAGAATAGTACTGAAATATTAGACAAGTTGTAAATAATTGAAATATTTCGGTTGTCTATGTAAATATAATGTGTAATAACAGATATTTCATTTTAACAATCAAACTAGGTAGGCAGTATAATTTACAACGCAAAAAAGTATTATAATTTATTATTGATAGCAGCATACTATTAATATTGTGATTTATGAATAATACATGTCACCGCAAGTCATCGCATCGAAGTGTTTAACTAAACGTGATCAATTGTCAAATATAATGGTGCTTTTCGTCGACGGATTTACAATTATTAAGGTAAACAACAATCATACTGTAATACATTTATTGTTCAAAACGTAAACATACAATATGCATAATATGTGGCACGTGCACACCAGAGGTATTCAAACACTAATAACGCACGTCAAACACTATTCACTGGGGTTTTCAAGGGTGTCGAGGGATTTGGCGAAGGAAGCCGCGTCAAAGAACCGGAAACGAATGTAGGTAATATTATTAAAAAAAAATATTTTTCATGATCATTGTAGCGACTATGGAAACGACAACACGAAAAACACGAGACCATATTTTGAAGTTTTATTTCTAATAGTAGGTACTGTTAAGTCATTGTGTAACTATCACCCGCCTATTGTATCCCCGTGTTTTGTATTATTTAAATGTTTTCTTAATAATTTGAAGCAGTGTCAGAATATCGAGCAGACACAAAAGAGCCGCGGAATGAACAATATTTGAATAGGTATCTCTGTTATGGACTATATAGAGACATTAGAGTATATATTATAGGCTCGGGAAAGGTACCCCATTTTCAATCTGTCTGATTAAAAATAAAATGATTATGTCACAACAGCGAAATAACAGGAAAAATAAAAATCACAATTTTTTTTTGCTATTCCACGACCCTTCGTGAGAACCGAATCAATATGACGACCTATTATTTAATTCTAATGCGCGTTCAGTGTACGCATTTAGGCGTGGGGCACTGATAGGCAGACCGTAGACGGTGACAATGCATTGGTGATGGTTTTCAGAAAATATTATTGTCATCTATATTTTATGTGCCGGACGGATACGACCGCAAACTAATAAGTGATCAAAACAGCCTTTTGAAATTCTAATGTAATCATTGACTGTTTTGAATAATCAATTATTATGATTCGTGTTCTGCATACACTTATCAAAATAATGAACACACAATAATGTATACTCGTAGTAGCAGTTGATTGTTCTTCGTTCGAAGTGCATAAAAAATGTTAAATTATTTAAACAAATTTTTTTTTCAGTATGCATACTTCTTTTGTCAATTAATAGTAATTGACGTATACGTTTTATTCAGAACTGACTTAATTTAAACTGTAACTCGATAGTCGATTTTATAAAATACACCC